GGGTTTGCGGCATTAGGGAGTCAAAACGTTCGACTTGCAAGGCGTTCGGGATCCAAGGTACAACTGTATGGTTTAATTACACATATTTACACCTTTAGTCTACATAGAGTGAGTTACAGCATGGTCATCTCAACAGGGGCTTGTTCCCCCACAGTGGATAACATAATTTTGAGAAGGGGGAAAAAACCAAATTAATCTGGGAGGTGTGAATCAGATCAATGCAAATGGGAATTTGTAAATATTACATTCCTCAGCCATTCCCACTCTCCACTAATACAGCTGTCTTTTCAGGGGTTGTTGTTGTTTAGATCTTACAGTAAATATGTGCAGATTGGAGATAGAACTTGCTACCACAATAATACACCCACACACCTCAGCAACAAGTGCTCACACTACAAGCTAAGAATGCCTGTGAAGGACTTCAGTCACAAAGGTGCATATATGACTTTTGTCTAGACCTAGAGAAAACTCTGTTTGCTGCAGCACTTGCAAACTCATTGAAAGCAAGGGTTCTATAATTAGCAATCCGAGAATTTAGCAGGGTTTCCTCCTCCCTAATTTAAGTTCATTCTGTTACGGAAAAGCCTTGGAGTTATAAATAAACAGAGCCTAGTTTTGTCCCACAGCATGGGGACATCCTCCTAGTTTTGTCCCACAGCATGGAAACTGAACTTGTTATATCATGCAGCAATTGTAAATTAATTAACAAAGACAGAAGTAGGGAAATGCGGTTGCGGTTCTTTTCCTTAGGGCAATGGGACATGAGGCCCCTATGCACACAACACATTTATTTATGCCAATTTCAGAGTCGGGGTTCCTCCAAAGGAGCTACTGGGAATTGTAGTTTGCTGATGGCACAGATAATCTCTGCCTGAGATTTGTTTAGATTGTTGGCATCTCCCCATGAGACACTCCTTTGCAGAGGTCCCTGGGGAAAGGGACTCATGATTAAACCAGCTTAACTGTGGCCTTGTTGCCATGTTTCACTGAACACAGGTTCAGATTGTGTCTATACATGGAGATGTGTTTGCTTGAAAGAGTGTACACTTATTGACTTGTACAGCTTAACTGTTATGTAAAGAGATATACAGATTGTACATGGGTTGAATGCTACATGTCAGAAACTGTATTAACAACAACAAGAAGAAGAAGAACCACTTAATTTACCATCTCAAGGCAATTTCCACATAAGGTAATTAAAACAGTTAGAAACACTAAAACAAAAAATAAATTTAAAACAAGAGGACACTCATAGTAAAAACCCATTTATCCTGCTGGAAAAGCCCTAGCTGCATTTTAAACCAGTAATGTGTACACAGCTTGAATGTACAGCTCAACTATTTGTGTGAACAGGCACACAGACTGCACACTCTTTAAATGTAATTTAAACATCACTATTCCCCCAGAGAGGTCAAAATCCCTGGTGTGCAATAAATGTGAGGTAAATGGAGTTTGGTTGAGTTCTTGTGCTGTCTTGTTTTTGTGGCCTTCCAGCTGTTGCTGAATGCTGTCTCCCACTGGTTCTTGACAAGGTGGCCAGGAATGATGGGAATTAGAGTCCAGTAACATCTGGAGGGCCACAAGCCCCCCATCTAGAAGATTGCTGAACCTCTTGGGCTTCTGGAAGTTTAAAGAACCAATAGGAAGCTACAGGCTAGATTTAAGCTCCTGGATCCAAAGTGGTTCTGAAAGTGCTGCGGACCAGCTTACTTTAATTTGACATTTCACACACACACACAAAAATACTCAACAATTTTTGTGTTCGGATTTTCACTTTTTGAAATATGGTAACCCTACTACAATATCCATATTGAGGCCCAGCACTAGCAACCTCAGACAGCACCATGGAAGGTTCATTCACTGACACTTGTCCTGCCTTCTTTTTTAAAAAAGCAACAGCAGCAACAACACTCTTCCCAGCTCCCAGTGGCCGCCATCTTTGTTTTTGACAACATCCTGAAAGCCACCTGAACTTCCAGGGAACTGTGGAACTTCAAATTGTTACGCACAATTAATTGCATGTGACTGGAGCATGGGTCGGATCCAGTCTTCAGTTGGTTCTCATCCCACTTGCACAGTCAATTTCCATATGGCAGCCAACGGGGCAATGGACGCGCTACATTAGTAACCTGCCTTTTCACATGTCCAAATCTAGCATGCACCAAGGTACATAAGGAAGACTTACATTCCCAAGGAAAGATGCCTGGGCTGTGTGCAACAAATTGGTACATATTTACGTGAATCTGCCCTAAGATGAGTCATCGGGGGAAGGCTCTCCCTGGGTTTTCAGCCATTCAGTTGTGGCAAACCAACCAATAATTTTATCTAGCTGCTCCTCTGGGCAACGCTTTGACAGATGGCAGCAATGTTGCAATAGCTGTTTCGATGACCTAGAAAACGAGCACGCAATCGTTTTAATTGCAGTGTGAGCGTGTTGTTTTTAAAATAACATTGTTTCTTAATTGCAAGGGAGCTTGAATACCCTGCCCATTACCAGGCAATGGGCAAGGTGTTCTGCAAGGTCAAAACTAGAAATGGGATGCTCCAAAGGCATCTGTGTTTAGGTTAGATCCATAGCAGTGAGAAAGGTGAGGCCTGCAGGTAGTGCTTAGTTAGTCTGTATCCACATCATATATTTAAAGCACTGTTATACCCCTTTGAACAGTCATGGAGAGGGCGGTCCCCAGGCGTGCCTGGCCCTAAATAGCCTGGGCCATGCCTCCCTCGCCCGCCGATTGGCGGGCTGGGTTGCAGGCACGCCCGGGGATTCCCCCAAGTCTCGCGGGGGCAAGGGAAGCCCCCGTGAATGTGGGAGGGTCCTGCCCGCAACACCCTCTCCTCCGCAGGCTCGGAAAGGGCTTTGAACAGTCATGGCTTCCCCCAGAGAGTTCTGCAAGCTGTGCTTAGTTAAGAGTTCTGTGAGTCATTAGGAGACCTCCTATTCCTCTCCCAGCACTGCAATTCCCAGAATTCCCTGTGAAGAGGGATCAATTGTTAAACTACTGTGGGAACTAGAGCTCTGTGAAGGGGCCAGATAGGGTTGCCATATGTCTGGAATATCTGGAACGGCGAAATTAGCATCCAGGAAATAAAACCTCAACAAGTTTGTGGTTGATTCCCCCCCCCCCCAAAAAAAGCTCAGTTTTTTGTGTCTGGATTTTTACTTCTTGAAATATGGCAACCCTAGGAACATGGGCTGTCACCACAACTCTCAGCACCCTAAACAAACTTTGTTTCTGTTGGGGAGAAAGATTAAGGGGTAGTTTGTGCTCTGTCTGTATTTATCTCAAGGGAAATTCCAAGTGTTGTGACACCGAACATCCTTTTTCTCTGGCTTATGCACAAAGCGGGGATGAGAGGTGGGTTCCTCAGGATATTTGTCACATTTCGGATTTGGGTGATTTTATACCTCGGTCCCACTGTACAACCAGAGCTCCCCCCCCTCGACCGGCATTTTATCACAGGTGTGCTTTGCAACATGCTTTTGACCCAAGAAAAGTGCCTTAGTGGTAGGTTCATTCTACTTTATTAGATATTTCGCAATGCTTGCCCAATTCTACCACATGATTGCTCCCCGGAGGGACCACAGTGCAACAAAAAGTGGTACAAAAATAAACCAGAACATTGGTGATATAAATAGTTAAGGGGTTTCACCAGGTAGTTACAGGATATGCACTGATTAGAAAGGAAGCTGTGTGATCGCCCTATAACTTTTGCATGTACAAACGGTACTGAAAGCAAGATCATGTCAGACTGCCCTGGTAGTATCCTGAGCACAAGCCATCATGAATGCAGAATAAAAAATCATTTTAAAGCCCCCCCCCAAGTGGAATATGGATGCTCTTCTCCATTTGCTGTATTTTGCAATTAGCCTTCACAATGCCTAGATGGGACTGAATTGACCCTGGAGCTCAAAGTCGCCTTCCTGAGCTTGGAGGAGCCCTGAGTTTTGTTTGTGACCGACTGAGCTTTGCTCTGTGTATCTGGAATATATATATAATTGTAAAAAAAAAATAAACATCTCATTGTAGATTTCCTAATAAATATAGTGTGTGTCAATGTGTGCTTGCAGTTGCCCGTCGCTGCGCATTATTGGCACAGCTGAGTGAACTGTACAAACCTCACTAGCAGCATATGAAAACAAACAGACCTACCAATATGTTATGGGTTAACTGGTCTACTTGTGTATCCTGTTGGTTATGTGGAATATATACTTTTCTAACAACATGTTAATATGGCACTCCACCTCCCGAATCAGTCCAGGAGGAGTTCCCAGGTCAGCCTGAATATAAGCAAGACTCTTCTTTCGGCCAAGGGTCTTGTACGGTATATTAAAGACACGGAGCCTCATCCCATTTTTCCTACCAGGAGGGAACAAGATGCCATTTGTTTTATTCATTTGTGCATATTCTCTCACACATCCATGCATACTTTCATGCAAAACCCAAGCATTCCAAATTTTATTCTGAATTACACTTCTCCTTTAAACCCTGTGTGGGTTCAAATGTTCTTTGACAAAAGGAAATGGCACTAGATAAAGGGGTGGACAGCCATACTCCTTGGTTCTAAAACCAGTGCTTTTTTCTGGGGGGACACAGGGGTACGCGTACCCCTAGACATTTTGTGAATCTAACGGAAGAAGAAACTATTTTTTTAAAAAAATAGTTTCTTCACTAGCACATTGCTACCTCTGATGACAGCCTCATTTCCTGTCACAGTGTTCCCTGAGTCTCAGACAGAAGCGAGCGTTTCATGTGTGAAGTAGGAGTTGGAATCTAGCATGGTGATTGGCCAGTTTCATTGTTACCACCTCCGATGGCAGCTTCATTTCTGTTCCTGGTGTTTCCTGGGTCTCAGACATTACCTCATGCCAGTGTGGAAGTTACTGTGAGTTGACAGCTGTGTAATATGAGGTAATCCATGTTCTTTGTACTTTCGTCCATTTATTGTATTTATTTCCCCCTATTTGAACGATAAAATGGTGGTTTTCTTGAGTCAAAATGAGAGTACCTCGAAATATTTTTTTTCAGAAAAAAAGCATTGTCTAAAACAAATCAACAGACCTAACCCCAATCCCAGCCTCTGTGGGTTCAATGCAACAGGGCAGCCAACAGGAGAGTGAAACAGAAGAGGCCCAAGTTGGAGACAAGGCCCAAAGCCCCATTGTCAAGGCTGCCTTTCCCCCCTGCATTGAGCTCCGGCTGCTTAGCATCACTGAACACCGAGGGTTCAGGGTTCTTGGTGGCAGTGTCTTCCACACCTCGGCTCTCAGCTCCAGGTGCAGATGCCAGGTTCACGCCGGGTCGGCTTTGGGGCCCGGGCCGCTTGCATGGGATCTTCTTCTTGGGACGTGGAGTGCCAGCTGCTGCTCCAGAAACGAGGACTGCTCCGTCAGGACTGCTGGTGGCGGCTGGTGCGTTGGCGGTGATCACAACAGGGGCACCTGCCTCCACCTTTCCTCCTGTGGTGGAGCCACTGGTGGCATGGCCTGGCTGGGGAGTACTACCGTCAACGGTGACGTGCTCGCCACTGGCATCTCCGTGATTGCCACCGACAGCAAAGGTTTCACTGCTAGTAGTAGCGTGGCCAGTGTGGTCCACATTGGTGTTTCCTGTGGTACCGGTAGCAGGAGAGTGAGCAGACCCATGTGGCCGGGTTTCACTTTCGTAGAACACACCTGAAGGATGGGTGGCGGCCGAATCTTCACGGTTTGCCTCCTTACCAGCCATGAACTGCTGCCCGGTGCTGACGGCCTCTTCTTCTGCCTCACATTCTTCGTCATCGCTGGAAGCCACCACAACCATGTTGCCGCCGCTTGTTTCTGAGGAGGAAGAGGAGGTGGTGGTAGCAGTGGCAGAAGTGGCATTCTTCTTGGGGACTACGACGGGCACCAGCACAACAACACTGCCATGATTGCCAGAAGAGGTGGCGTTGGTGCCGGCGTTGCTCTCGTCCAAGTTTGTGGCAGCTGAGGAACTGCCCACTGCCATGTCCTCAGAGTCTGTGTTGCCTGCGGGGGAGACGGTGTGGCCCTCTGTGTGATCGCCAACAATATTCTCATTGACGACGTGTTCGCCTGCAGTTGTTGAGTGGTTACGGTCGCCTTCATTGACCAAAGACTCACTCCCTTCCTTCTCATTGACCTTGTGGGCCATTTCATTATCGACGTGGCTCCCGGGAGACAGGTCTGCACCAGCGGGGACATGGGCAACCACGGCGCTGTCTTCATCCTCATCATCGTAGATGCAGTCAGGATTTGGTGCAGTGCCAGATGGCGTGGGGGTGGCGCACTCTGCCACCGTCGTGGTGTCAGCGCTGTCCGCAGGGACTATGCGCTGCGTCACCACGCCATCCACGATGCGGTCATTGCAGAGGTTGCCTTGGCAACACATGACGTCGGCGTTGTCCAACTCTTGTACCAAAGCCAGGAGAGAGCTCTGGCACATGGCTGGGGAGGCGCAGCCTTTGAAGGTCACTAGGCCCAAATCCCTACCAGCTGCAGGTGAAGAAAAGAAAAGGGAACAGAGACAATTAGTCAAAAGGGTTTATTGCTCCCTACAAGGCTGTTGTGGTTACTCTCCCCAGGCGAGTGTGAACTGCAGCCCTTGTCGCACACCTTAAATCTCATATGCCATGTGGCTGGAAAACGATTTGGAGAGCTCCTACAATTTCTTTTAGAGTGGCTTAACCTTTGGGTGTGGGTTTTGGTGCCCAGTGCATGCGACAGAACTTGCACACTAATCTCCTGAAACTGAAGCACCTCATTCTTTTGGTGTACCTAAACATTCAGCTCTGCAGCACATGGAGCAACAACTCAGAGTTTTTCTGTGCACCTTCTCCAGAGTGGCCCTAGGGCCAATCCTCAGCGTCTGACTCACCCCCCTTGCACTTTTTTTGGACTGTAGTCAATGCAAAGGGTTGAAAAGACTTCTTCCCAGTGACTAAAAAGTTCCCATTTTATGCTGGTTGGGCAGCTCTCAGATGCTGGAGACAGGGACCCTAACACAGAAAGAGTAACAAGTCTTCAACCCTCACCCGACCTCAGACTACTACACCTTTGGATACGAACGGGGGGGGGGGCAAGTGTCCTGCCCACTCTTGACTCTGGTTTTGCTGTTTCTGGAAGGAATATGGACTTTCAAAAAAATGCTTGCCACATCTGCCTAACCAGGATGGCACCGGAACTTAAGTGTAGGGAGTCTTGCAGATCAACACTCACCTTTACGGCTGTTGCCAATCCCCTCCAAGCACATGTTGTGGATGCCTGTGCATTGCACCTTGGAGATTGATTTTTTGGAGCACCCAGACCCAGAGCCATTGTCATCCACACAGCTATAGCATTCTAGCCCGTTCGTTGCCTGGCTTTGGACATGAAGATCTGGAAGGAGAGAGAAAAGTGAAAGAAACAGCCATGAGGCATGCCTGAGTCGTAACAACCAGGAATCCTCCTGCCATTTGCACAAGCAGCAGGTTGTGGACTGGACCCGCTTCCAGCTACAAGGAGTGCGTGCTATTTCCTTGCTGCAAGAGTGGACCTGGCTGCCTATTTTTTACCAGACCAAGTTATTGCCTCGATTCACAAAGCCCTAAGCAATGGGGACAGAGTACCCAAAAGACTGCCTGATTCCTTTGTCAGTTTGCATTTCTTAGTGCAGAAGAAATCTTTCCTATTCTGATTAATTCAAGAGGGTTCTGGAAGCTTCTTTGTGTGAAAGAAACAAGCAGAAGGTTCATGATGTTTAGGTTATTCCTTCAGAGAAGCTGAGTACAGCTGGCTGAAAATGGTTCTGTTACCTCTTCTTCAAGGTCATGCTGACTATAAAAGAAGGATCCTGGGTTTTACTTTCTCTTTCTATCTCTCTTCCTTCTGGTGTGGTGTTCTGTATATAGCAATACGATTTAGACCTATTATAAGTTATTGTAAGTTTAAGTTAAGTCTGCTGCAACTGGACTTCTTATGGACACTGCCAGTCCAGGTAGCCTGGCAGGGGAAAAGGGAGCTAGAGGAAAGGTCTTGCTCGCTCTCTCCCAACACTGGAACTCATGGGCATCCAATGGAGCTGAACACTGGAAGATTCAGAACAGGGAAAAGAAGGTTACTTCTTCATGCAGCGCATAGTTAAACTATGGAACTCGGTCCCCCAAGAAGCAGTGATGGCCACCAAGTTGGATAGGTCTAAAAGAGGACTTTGTCCATGGAGTTTTCTTGGCAGGGATACTGGAGTGGCTTGCCGGTTCCTGCTCCAGGTGAGAGCTGGACCATAAAGAAGGCTGATCGCTGAAGAATTGATGCTTTTGAATTATGGTGCTGGAGGAGATTCTTGAGAATCCCATGGACTGCAAGAAGATCCAACCTATCCATTCTGAGGGAAATCAGCCCTGAGTGCTCACTGGAAGGACAGATCCTGAAGCTGAGGCTCCAATACTTTGGCCACCTCATGAGAAGAGAAGACTCGCTGGAAAGACCTTGATTCTGGGAAAGATTGAGGGCACAAGGAGAAGGGGACAACAGAGGACAAGAAGGTTGGACAGTGTTCTTGAAGCTACCAACATGAGTTTGACCAAACTGCGGGAGGCAGTGGAAGACAGGAGTGCCTGGCATGCTCTGGTCTATGGGGTCACGAAGAGTCGGACATGACTAAACGACTAAACACAACAACACAACAAAAAGAGGACTGGAGAAATTCATGGAGGAAAAGGCAATCAATGACGGCTAGTCATGATGGCTGTGCTCTACCAAGAACATTGGGAGGACACAAGGCCACACCACCACTGTTGCAGATGTATGAGATAAGGACTGAGGGTGGTTTAGCATGCTGGGGAACCCACTGTCACAAGAAAACAAATTGATCCCATACCGTACAATTCTATATCTGATGCCCAGCTATCAAGTTTAGTAGTTACCTGGGTTGAAGGTATTGCAGAGGGCTGTTGAGCAGCAGCTGGCATGGATGGTACGGTCTGCAGAGTGGAAGCTCAAGGTCTCCTGGCACCGTGGGAGGTTGGTGCAGCCCTTCATCTTCATGTTGTCATACGGACCTGCAGGCATAATTGACAGCGAAAGACATAAGACACTGCAGAACCCATCATGGAGGAGGGGAAGTCTATCAGTGGCTGGTGGTCATGGTGGCTATGTTCTGCAGTAATGCTTCTGAACAGCAGTTGCTGGAAACATCAGGAGGGGACAGCGCTCCCTTGTGGTTGGGTCCTGCTTGCAAGCTTCCCACAGGCCTCTGGTTGGCCACAGTGATCCAGCAGACTCTTATCCCCAGTTCTGATTTGCCAGGTTTCCCTCCTTTGTGTCTCCTCCCACATCTCCACGGGTCCCTCCCATCATCACCTCCCTCTTCCGAAAAACACCTCACCTCTCTCCCTCCCCCACACATCCTGCACTGCCTACCGCCCCCCCCCAACTCACCCAGTTTTCCGGTGACGGCAAGATCCAAACACTGGTCCTGATCCCCAGCACAGCTGATCTGGGTGCGAGAAGCTTCGGGGCACCAGGCTCCTTGGGTGGCACAGCTGTGGCAGCGCATGTGATTGACAGGTGCAGGATGGGAGACTGGGGGAGACAGGAGGTGGGGGTTAGCATGTGCTTAGGGAGGGAGAGCACAGTGAGATGGCAAAGGAGGGCAGGGGGGTGGCATCCTATGGACAATCAGCAAGGGATTGCTCCAAGGAGCAAAAGGGAGTTAATGAACTAAACAGAGTGAAAGGTTATGAGTCACGGGGGCGCAGAGATTGTGTGAATGAATTTAAGTGCTTAGCTTATATTTTCAGTTGCTATTTTGTGAATGTTTTTAATATTGTTTTATAGATTCTAAATGCCACATTGATTTGTTAATCGCATGACTTGCCATAATTGTGAGGTTTAGCTTATTTTTCAGTTGGTGTTTTAAGGTTTTTTTAATAGATTGCAACTGTTTTATTGAAAATCCGTTAATTATTTTATATGATGTGTGCTGTATTTGCAATGTGCTATTATGTTTTATTAAGTTACAGCTATTTATTGGTTGTAAGCCGCTTTGAGATTCATTTGAATGAAAAGCAGAATAGAAATACAATCCATCAATCAATCAATCAATCAATCAATCCCCATTCTATGCTCACAACAACCGTGAGAGGTAGGCCAGGCTGAGAGTGAGTTGACTGGCCCAAGGTGAGCTTCATAGCTGAGTGTGGTGTCGAACCCTGGCCAAGGTCCTGGTCCAACATGCTAATCACTTTGCAGGCAAGGCAAGGAATGCAAACTTCACCCTTGTCATATTTATTCATCGCATTCATACAGTAGAACAAGTTCCTACACACCTCAAGAGAAAACAGGTAACAATGTTGGACCTCTAGGTAACTCTCTCTTGGAAATTTCATGTATCATCTCAATACGCTTTCAGCCTCCCTCAAAATCCACCCCACCCCCAAATTTTTCAACCTGGTTTCATTTTGGTTGCCGGCAGCCACACGACTCACCAAAGTAGGTCTCATTGTTACAGCCATCCTCAGCACAGTAGCGTGCCTGGTACGAAAGAGACATGAGGTGAGAGTTGAGGGAGATGGATTCGTGGGGAAACAGCTGGGGGGCACAGCCTTTCCTCACCGACTGGAATTCCAGGAAGCCTGGACAGGGAAAGAAACAATGTTGTAGTTAACGCAGCATTTCACAAACTGGAACCCGAGCCCAGTTTTCCTTTTGCTGTATGAAACCCAGAGGTACCTTTCATTTCATTCCCACACTACTATATATTAGGGCAAATCAAGCAGGGGAACTCTCAGAAGTGACTCTTTGAGAGTCAGGCTGGGCCAAGAAGGGCCCTGCCTTAAGCCTGCTATGGTCATGCACTGAGGAAGGTCTACTTGGCCTGACCATTGGGCATCACTACCACCTCCACCTCTGCTGACCCACTTCTGCTGCCCATTGACACTTCTGCAAACCATGGATTTTCCCCAAACTTGCCGATAGCTTGCTATTGTTTCTCATCGCCTCTTTTCACTACAATCCTGTTGGGGGCCCATGAACTACAAACCCCAAATTTGGGGTCCTCTGCAAACCTGTGCCAAAGTTTTGCAGGGTTTTTTCAGGGGGGGCAGCAAACCCCCCACATTTTGTAGCACCCCACAAACTGAGTAGCTGATATGTCAAGCATGGGGTTCCTACTTAACATTAATTACAAACCCCAAAGTTTGGGATTCCTGTTGGCACTCACAACTTGAGTTTTCTATTGCAAGGAGAGACACACACACACATGCTCAGCTCCCAGAACAATTGGCAGGTTTCAGGATAGGTTAGTTAGTGTAGTTTTCTCATGCCCCAACCTCAAATTTGCCCAGAAAGAATGGTGATGGCATGGTGATAAAGGCAAGACCTGAAACCTCAGATTTCCTCTACTACACTCTCGAACAGCAACATTCTGCTCACCCCAACCCCAGACTTTTTATTGTTGATCACCAAGCCCAATATGAAGAAGAGTTCTGTGAAGCTCGAAAGCTAGCTCACTGGCTTGTGACTTTATTTAGCCCCGATCACGACATTAGAACGCTGTTCTAATCTGTTTGTTTCTAGAACGAACATGTTTTGTGTGTATGAATGACCCACAGTCTTTACAAAACAAACAAGAAGTATGCATGACCACCGCTAAAAATGATGCTTACCGACATAAGCCTTTCGGACAGATGTTGAGCAGCTGGCTGAAGGATCTTCGCACGTCACGTTCTCTCCTAAGCAATCGTACTCACCGTGACACGTGTTGCATTGCAAGGAAAAGGCTGGAAGAGGACGGAGAGAAATTGGTCAGGTCTAAGGCTGCTTCTTCCACTCCGCCCCTTTTTTTTTTTTAATAAACCTTTATTTTTATTCCAACAATTAAAACCATATGTACATCATCCATAAAAACAAAACAAACACAAAAAAAACAATAACAACCAAAACCGGAATCAAATTCCATAATGTTTAGATACTAAATCATTATACAGATCTGTTACATTATTTGACTTCCCATCACCACGACGTGAGCTGTAACTAAGTAATATATTCAGCAGTGTCTTTACTAATCGTTATATCAACCTCGCAGTTTTTATATTGTACCTACTGTGATTTTGATGTTTCCTAAAACCGTCTCCATATATGAGAGAAATTTATTCCAATCGCTAATAAATTTGGTGTTTTTCTGTTGCCTGATCTTCTGTGTCATCATTGCTAGATCAATATATTCAATTAACTTGTTTTGCCAATCTCTGATTGTTGGGGTGTTAGGTGTTTTCCAATTTTGGGCTAACAGTATCCTGGCGGCTACCGTAGCATACTGAAATAGGGTTTGGTCATCTTTCTTAATTTCGTCCCCCACCATTCCTAAAAGGAATGCCTCGGGCTTTTTAGGGAAGGTGTACTTTAGGATCTTTTTTAGTTCGTCATAGACAGAGCCCCAGAACCTTTTTACTTCCTCGCAGGTCCACCACATGTGGTGGAAGTTTCCCTCTTTCTTCTTGCACTTCCAGCAGGTCTTATCCCCGGTCTTATACATTTTTGCTAATTTTGTTGGGGTGATGTACCAGCGGTACATCATCTTTTCCATGTTCTCTCGGAGTCCGACACAAGCTGAAAATTTCATGTCCTTGTTCCATAGTTTTGTCCATCTTTCATAGTCTAGAGGGTAACCTAGGTCTATCACCCACTTAATCATAACCTCTTTGACCTCCTCGTCCATCGTATCCCAGTCTAGTAGTTGGTTATACATTTTGGTTAAGAGTTTGGTCTTCCCTTCAATTATCTCTAGCTGAAATTTAGACTTGTTCTTACTCATTCCCGCTTTTTTATGCTCATTCCATAAGGAATTAATTTGGTGGAATTGTAGCCATCCCGTTAATTTATCTTTTAATTCTTCGTAGGGCCTAATTTCCCATCCTTTATCAGATCTTATCAAAAGATCAGCATATGTCCACCTTTTACCTTCCATGTTAAGTTTGTTAATTGTTAGGATATCAATGGGTGACAACCACCATGGGGTGTCCTTTTCTATCAGTCTCTTACATCTATTCCATACTTCTAGTAGCGCCCCTCTTATAATGTGGTTGGAGAATCCTTTATGTACTCTCCCCTTATCGTGCCATAAGTATGCATGCCACCCAAATCTGGCATTAAAGCCCTCCAAGTCCAGTAGGTCGGTGTTGTCCAAAACTATCCATTCTTTAATCCAGCAGAGGCACGAAGCCTCGTAGTATAATTGCAAATTCGGGACCGCAAATCCACCTCTTTCTCTTCTATCGGTTAGCAGCTTGTATTTAATTCTGGCCCTTTTGCCCTGCCAGATGAATCTAGACAGGGTTCTCTGCCAATCCTTGAACATTGTTGTGCCCCTAACTACTGGGATGTTTTGAAATAAGAATATCATTTTTGGAAGGATACTCATTTTAATGGCAGCCATTCTCCCCTCCCAAGAGAGCTGTAATCTACTCCAGCTGTCCAAGTCTTTTTTGCACTCTCTCCAAATTTTATCATAATTGTCCTCCACTAAATTTATATTTTTTGGGGAGACCCAGATGCCCAAATATTTAACCTTTTTCGATATCTTTATCCCCGATTCGGACTCAATTTTGTTTTTTGATTGCTCATCCACATTTTTTACCAACATCTTTGTTTTAACTTTATTTAGTCTAAACCCGGATAACCTTCCAAATTCCTCCATTAACTCAATAACTGTATTTATCCCTTTTGTGGGGTCTTCTACTGAAATTACTAAATCATCGGCGTATGCCTTTAGTTTATATTCTTTTATGCCAATTTTGATCCCTCTTATTTCCGATGTTTCTCTTATTTTGTTCAATATGACTTCCAGGACCATAATAAATAGTAGGGGTGATAAAGGACACCCCTGTCTTGTGCCTTTAGAGATCATGAATGAATTTGTCAGGTTACTATTAATAATTAGCTTTGCCCTTTGATCTGAATAAATCGCCCTTATGCCTTTTAAGAATGGTCCTTTCATTCCTACCTTTTCCAAACATTTTATTAAAAAATGCCAAGAAACGTTATCAAAAGCCTTTTCGGCGTCTATAAACATTAGGGCGGCCGGGATGTCATTCCTTAGTTCCAGGTATTCAATTATATTGATCACATGTCTTACGTTGTCTTTTATCTGCCTACCGGGCAGGAATCCGGCTTGATCTTTATGAATCGCTCTATTCAGATATTTCTTTAATCTATTCGCCATTATTCCTGCAAAGATCTTATAGTCGTTATTGAGCAATGATATTGGTCTATAGTTTTTTATATCGAGTCTGTCTGAGTCTGCTTTGGGTATTACTGTAATGTACGCCTCTCTCCACGAATCAGGTATTTCCCCTCCTTCTAAAATGTTGTTAATTACATTACAAAGTACCGGGGCCAGGTACTCCTCTAAGGTTTTATAGTATTTTTGAGAAAGGCCATCTGGGCCTGGGGCCTTCCCAGGTTTCAATTTCTTGATTGCATCTCTAACCTCTTCCACCATTACTGGTTCATTTAGGAGTGTCTTTTCTTCCTCTGTCAGCTGTTCCCCTCCATTCCTTTCCAGATACCTTCCTATCTCGTTTGTATCCTCATCCTCCCTTTTTTTGTACAGGGTTTCATAAAACTGGAGGAACTTTCTCTTTATCTCTTTGGGGTCTTCTATTATTTGTTCTTCTGATTTAATTTTATTAATCAGACTCTGTTTTTTCCTTTTTCTCAGTTGCCATGCTAGCAACTTACCCGTTTTATTTGCCGACTCAAAATATTTTTGTTTCATCATTTTTATTCCCCATTCTATTTCTTGATTTAACAGTGTTGAGTATTGGGTTTGTAGTAATTTGCAGATTTGTTTAGTCCTCTCATCCCCAGGGTTTATTGTTAATTTCCCCTCTGCTTCCTTTAATTGTTTAATTATTTCTTCCTTCTTTGCCTCTCTTAAATTCTTTCTGTATTTATTCTGTTGGATCAAAAAGCCTCTAAGTACTGCCTTACTCGCGTCCCAGACCACGTCAATTTTAGTTTCTTTGTTTAGGTTTAGGTCAAAGTACTCTTTCAAGGTGTTTTTTGCCTTACCAATAGTCTCGTCTTGTTCCATTAGGTGATCATTCATTCTCCATCTGTATGGTCCTAATGATTTACTCTGCCCTTTAGCATCTGCACAACAGGCAGATATTCACCAGGTGTGCTTTCCCCCAATATGGGGAGGCTTTGGGCTCATCCATATTTTTGTTTGACTTTTACTTTGATGCATTCTGATAAATTCCCCCAGATCCAGAATTGTAGAGTTGAAAGGGACCACGAGGGTCATCTAGTCCAACCCCCTGCAATGCAGGAGTCTTTTGTCGAATGTGGGGCTTGAACCCACGACCCGGAGATTAAGAGTCTCATGTCTGTGGGTCGAAGCCTTTGCGAGGGAAAACTGTGCCTGTTGGATGCCATCTGCTGGCTGCTCAGCTGTGGAACTGAGTTACGCAACGAGGAGCACGTTGGGAATATGTCATGCAGGCTCATCAGATTTTATTCTTTCTCATTGCACACCACGAGTATCACTTCCACAGTTCTTTGCATAATGGATTTCGCTTGCATCACACGCAGTTTAAAATAAATAAGCAAGAGTCGGCAAGTGCAAAGTGCTTATCTCTCCAAGATTTTTATTCTGGGACTGATATTACAGGGTGCGTGTCGGTCAACAGCAGGCATTGTAAACCTTAGCTGGCACCCAATGAACATCAAATGACTGCATTGAACCTCTGTGGAATGCCTTTGTGGAATGGTCTGAAAAGTGACAAGAAAATGCTATCCCAGAAAGCATGGGATAACCATCCCGCTTTGTGTAACCTCCCCACGATCAAATCAGAATGAATGCTGAATAAATAGTTGGCAGGTGTCTAGGTTCTCCATAAAATGGCTTCTCCTCCATGGAATCCTGGGAGCTGCAGTTTCTTACAGGTGCTGAGAGCTCTTAGGAGACCCCAGGGTTGCAGTCCCCTGGGAAGAAGTGTTTATTGTTAAACTCTTCTGGGAATTGTAGTTCTGAGGGTGGAATAAAGGTCTCTAACAACTCTCAGCATCAGTGCTATTTTTCTAGAAAAAGAGGTGCTGGAGCTCACCATGAACCCTTGTTCCCATATAATAGCAATGGCAGTTCCAGTGAGTTCTGGCTGGGGGGGGGGAGCCCTGCTTGGCACCCTTAACAAACTACAGTTCTCAGGGTTATTTGGCAGAAGCCAGGGCTGTTTAAAGTCATTGGTTGTGTGCATGAGTCCCCAGTTCAGTAGGACTTACTTCAGAATAAACACCCAGTGCAGGAAGATATTAAAGAGAAATTAATCCCCACATAGTGAACTTTTAACATGCAGCTTTGGAAATTTTGGGAGCAGAAACATGGCAAAGGCAGGCTCCCCCTTCCTTCTCAATTAGAGAGGGCGGGCATGGAGAAAAGGGGGGGCACTCAAGATACTTGAAGCAACACACACACCCCATCCCTGACCATTAGCCATGCCAGCTGAGGCTGATGGGAGTTTTGGTCCAACAACATCTGGAAGACACCAGGTTCCTTGTTTCTGCTATAGTGGCTCCTCCCATGAGGACTAGAAACTTCGTCTCCTTTTTGTTGTTGTTGTTGTTTCAAAGATTAGGCTCCAATTTTTAAAGACAACAACAACAAGGACAAAAGAGAATAAGTTTCTGGGACACATGTTTATGGGATGCATGGAACCGCACCCCACATAATTATTCTGGTCTCCAGAATTCCTGGACCAGAGAACCTGGGAAGCCAGAGAATCACGTTGTTTGCTAATTGTCCTCTTTCTGTCATAAGGTGTTTTGTAAAATCCCTGTCCGTGGAGGAGGAGGAGGAGGCACCTTCTGGGTGTTTATGTCAAATTTGGGACAAGTCATTCTCAGGGTGAGGCTTCCCCACGCTGCCTCCCAGTCCTCTCTCTCCCTCTCCCTCTCCCTCTCCTTGCTACAGAAGCTACAGAAACAGTAAGGTGGTGGGTGGATTTGGGGAAGGAACTGTGGGGAGTGAGAGGGAAGGAAGTGAAGATTGCCCAGACTGAAAGATTGGGAAAGAAAAGGAAAGCTCCCAGGCAAGAACTAGGAAGGTCTGCCATTTTCTGTGCAGTGGCTAGGATTAAGCGCTGTTTTGGCTAGAGAAAATATAAGGTATTTGTACATTGGGGGTTTTTGCATTTTAGTCACCTGGTTGCTGATTCTTGCCTCCCTTGTTTTTGATGCTGTTGCTGTTACAATCATCTGTATTTTATTATGTATTATTATAAGGTCTGCATAGGACTAGATGCCCCTTGGGATCTTTCCAATTCTACAGATCATAGAATCACAGCATTAAAGAGTTGGAAAGATCCTGGCGATCATCTAGTCCAACCTGAATATGCAGCTGTCCCATACGGGGATCGAACCTGCAACCTTGGCGTTCTCAGCACCATGTTCTAACCATGATTCTAACTCTTTCAGTATTTATGAGGTATAGGTATTATGTTGGTTGTTGACATTTGGGTTCTATGTTGCAAACTGCCCTGTGGTCTTCAGACAAAGGGGGTCTAAAAATTTAGTTATTTAATAAGCTGCCTTAGACTGAGACGGACCTTAGGGTCCATCTTGGTCAGTATTGTCTACACTGAGTGGCAGCTGCTCTCCAGGATTTCAGCTCTCCAGCTCTACCTGGAAATGCTGGGAATTGAACTTTGGACCTCCTGCATACAGAACACATGCTCTGCCACTGTTTTTCTCCAGCAAACACTGGTCCTCAATAGCACAATTAAAGAACTTTGAACTTTGCTGGAGAAGCAGGTCAGGTCTCAATGCAATGATTTAGCTTGTTCACCTCATTGCTGCAGTAGCCTGGAGTGAACTGCATCTCTTTAGCCTTGGTTCACTTAGTTAGGGTTGCCAGCAGACTGGAAAAGCAACAAAGCAGTGAGGTCATAGCTCCTTAAGGGAGATTTGAATTGCAGGAATCCACGTCTGCACTAGCTACCTTTCAAGCACTATTATACCACTTAAAACAGTCCTGTCTTCCCCTGCAGATCCCTGGGAGCTGTAGTTTGTGTCCAAAGTGCTGAGAGCTGTTAGGCGGCCCATATTCCCTTCATGGAGCTACCATTCCCAGAGTGGTTTAACCATCCATCCCGCTTCCCAGGTAACTCTGGGAATTTAAATGCATTTAAGTGCAGATGATGCCAAACTCTGCTTGGCTAGAACTAAACAATATCACTGGGCAACTGCTGTAGATTCAACCGCTGTTACAGGAGCAGCTACCGAGTAGGGAATATTTTGGGCATCTCTGCATTACAGACTTACAGGACCATCCCATCCATCACTGAAATATCTTGTAGCAGGAAAAGCATGCCAAATGTAAGATTTAAGATGACGTCAAAAGGATAAAAAAGCAGGACTGACGAAAAAGCGCTCGTGATCCTGCAATATCAAACCTGCCCCCAGAGATGGATGAACCATTAAGCAAAATGAGCATGTGCTACAGTATCAAGGGAAGGGGGGCACCACAGAAATTTTCCACTGTCAGTTTTTCTGTGGACCTGCAACTCTGCTTTTCAGTTTACAAATTCTGAGAGAAAATTCATCTCTATTAATTAAAGCACAAAATTTGGCTGTAAACTAGTAAATAAATTGTTCGTATCATGGAATAAAGTGGAAGTATACAAAAACAAACATTATTTTCCGTCTTTCCGTAGGTTTCCTTTCAAGAAATAAAAAAAATATTTTACGGTTTGTTATTGTTTATGTTTTAAATCAGATATATATGGGGGCAACTGAAACCTTTAAAGTGCCTGGGGCCTCTAAAGGTCTTAATCCGGCCTTGCCTGCACCGCTGAAAGCTGAACTAATTATAAAAATTAATAATAATAACAATAATAATAGTATTTCCTATCAATCCATCTTTAGTTTACCTTGGTAGAAGAGAGCAGGTAGCAGCAAAATTGCCCAAGTCTTGGCCATCTTGAAACAGCTCTAAGCTCCTTGCTGTGTCCTGAGCCCCTGTCTCTGACCTGCTGCCTGGCACTGCCTTTAATAACCTCCTAAATACTCCCACCCAATCCTGCCCTTCCGTAAGGACCAGCCCCAAACAAAGGTGCCACTTTGAACTCCCAATTGGTCCCAGGCTGGGCTCTGCTGCTTTCACAATGGCTGGGAGGGGACAGTGAACATGAGGGTTGCCAGGCACGTGAGCGAAAAGCGTGGCACCAGAGGACACGTTGGACCGGACCCACCTGGTATCAAGGTGAGTCACAGGCCAGGATTTCAGGAGGAGATGTTTGGAGCATCCCAAAGGATGGATGGGAAGGCGGGGATGTGTCAGGCTTCAGGAATCCAGCCAGTCGGGTTGGGATGGGAGGGAAAGCTGGAGGAAAGGATACAAAAAGCAACAGAGAGGGAGAAACTGAAGCAGGGAGAAAGAGAAAGGCAATCAGAACATAAGAAGAGCTGCTGGATCAGACCAGTGACCCACCTGGTTCAGTATCCTGTTCTCACATCGGCCAACCAGATACCTGGGGGGAAACCCACAAAACAAGACTCTAGCACTCTTCCCTCCTGTGGTTTCCAGCAGCTGGTATTCAAAAGCATTCCTGCCTCCGACTGAGGCTAGCAGCCATTGACAGCCCTCTCCTCCATGAATGTATCCAATCCTCTTTGAAAGCCATCCAAATTCATGGCCACCACAGCCTCCCATGGGAGCAAGTTCCAAAGCTGAACTGTGTGCTTCCTTTTATCTGTCCTGAATCTATGAAGAGAAGCAATGAGAAGCAAGGCCCAGATTCTCCAGCATCATTCACTACTAGACAACAGTTTTCTTTTGAGGAAGAGCTGTAGCACAGTAGGCTTGCAAGCAGGAGAGCCCAAATTAAATTCCTGGCATGTCCAAGTAGGGTGGGAAGAAGCTCCCTGTCTGACACCCTGGAGAGGTGCTGTTGGCGAGTGTAGATGTTAATGAGCTGCATGGAGCAAAATCTGACTCGGTATAAGGCAGATTTCTATGACCCATGAGGGAGTCTGACCAGAATGCTGTGTCTTGAAACACAATCAAGTGCATGGTGCAGTGGCTTCCCTCTGAATCTGCAGAACCTGCTGCCATTCAAGAAGTGTAGCTCATCATCCCAAGGCATCTGAGTTCCAGAGATAAAAACTGAACCGCTCAAACACTGAGGTTGAACAGTTAGAATTATTACAGCTGTTGAGAAGATGAGTGTCAAAATCTTGGGGCGTTGATTTACCTCTGGTGGGAATGTCTGAAAGAGGTTTTTGCAATCCTTTCCAATCTCTTCCACAGAGTTGTTGAAAATAGAACTGGGATTAGTTTTGCTGATTTACAGCGTGCAATAAAAATGTCCCTTGTAAGAGTCTGATAAACCACCTTCTCGTGGCAGTGTCCACAGAGCTCCAATTTACATTGGAAAGATCCATACAGATGTACTATCCACAAGTGGTATGATCTGGGATACTTTGGCATCCAACCAAGTCATCTCATTTGCGTAAGGACTTCCTGCTCCACAGCGGAACTTGCCCTCCTTATTTTCTCCTTGTGCCCCCCCCTCAAATCTGCTCCAGAAGGTTGGGGTGACCCCAAAATAGATGGGGGTGCACAGAGGGAAGAGAGGGTGAGGAATCTACCATTGCACAAGCAGAAGCCCTTGCATGAATGAGATGACGTTGCTGGACACAACCCCGATTTCACCACTGCAATGAGATGTACTGGATTTCTATTTAAACTGCAGTAAGCATTTCTAAATGTGTAGCAGTCCATATATAAATTAGTCAATAGTGCAGATTTTAGACCAAGGTTTGGTTTGGTTTTCTTCCCTTTTTTGGTGATTCCTCTCTCACTCGGGAATTTTGTATGGGCCACTCTTGGGGGGAGGGGAGATACTCCAGACCTTGTTTTTATCTGCCTGACAAAGCACTCCCAAATAGAAGAGGGAGAAACACTGATCTAAGCCAGCAAAGTTGGATCCTTTCCAGACAACCTCTTTGTTGAATATTCGTTCTAATTTGTTTCCACAGAGTTTGTGGGGAGCTTAGATGATGTGGGCTATCCATTGAACATCTATCCCAATTTATTTGTAGAGAAGTAAGATGGCATGGCCTCAAGCACACTTTAAATTGTATTCTCCCATCACCCTACTTACTACAAAAAAACAAGCAAACACCACACGGTTTTGAGTGGGGAACAGCAGGTTTGCTGCCCAAGGGCTCCAAATTAGCTTTAAATGTGCAACCAAAGTTTGCTGGGATGTGATTGAATCTCATCTGGATATATTGACCTCATAGCAATGGCCTTAGAGGTCTGCTTGGATCCTGGTGTGGAGGTGGGAATTGGACTCATCCCAGGCTCTCTTCCGAGTTCCTGGAAGGCTGTGTGGTCAAGTGGTTGGAAGTCGCACTCATACAGACTCCTTCTCCCACCTCTGAGATTGGCCAGATCCTGACTCATTAAAACAAGGAGGGTTGAGATGACTGAGCCTTCTCAGCCTCCTCTTGCAAGAGAGGCATCTCTGGACCCAACAGGAGTCTGTTCTCTGCTTGGATTGGGTGTGCCTGACTTTCCCAAGTTCTCTTCAATAAATAAGCCTGTCTTAGGATCCAAGGGAACACACAGATTGACTGTGGGGCAGTCCAGGGCACATGGCAAGGAAGGTGAGCATCAAGCGAGGAGGAAGGAGGGGCAGCGAATGCTTTAGCAATGCAGATTGATAGGGCGGTGATGACTAAAGGATTGCAAGAAGAATAGCTTTGCCACTTTCCTTCCCCCAGCAGAAAGGAGTCCTGAACTTTTAACACTGGCAGGAATTCAACAGGGGAAGCTGTACTCCGTTTCTGCCCTTACCATGCTGGGAAAGGCTTAACCTGTTGGATTTGTTGTTGTTGTTGTTGTTTTTCATCTGCTTGCAATAAATGTGCAGCGACCTGCTAGGGGAAAGGAAAGGAAAAGAGAAAGGAGGTTGCATGAAATAAGGATTAGAAGTGTGCTCTCTGCCTGGCTTTTGAAGACCCCCTCAGGCAAGGGAATTGCTTTCTGCCATGGGCTTAGGAAAGCAAGCTGTGCCAGTTAGTGAATTATAGAGCCGGACTGGCGTGCGTGGCCCATCCCTTGCTGAAAAGGCAGGCCTCCTACAAATCCACCGATTCACTCCTCTAGTTCAGGGATGGGCAGAAGGGAGAGCAGGTTTTCTTGGTAGATCTCTGGGTGATTTGCATGGGTTTCTGACTCTCAGTTGATTGAAACAGGGGAAACAAGAAAAAGGCAACTTTCCCCCAAAGACTACAAATCCAGAGTGAAGTCCCTAAAATGATTGGATGATGCCTTGTACACCTCCTTTTGGCAACTGCTGCATCTGCCAGAGCCACCACCCCCCCATTCCTCTGCACCTCTCCCTCTATCTCAGGCACCCATCCTTTCATTCATAGGGGTAGCAGCCATCCAGCCCCTCCTAGCTTTCTTCCAAGGTGGGCAGGGGGAGCAATGACCACTCTTTAGCAGCAGCAGCAGAGTCAACAAGGCTCTCTGTTTTAACTTCCTCCCTTCTGCCTTCTAGGAAGGACGAGGTGGGGTCCTCCAAGTGAGGCAGTCTAGGCAGCAGAGCTGTAGCTAGGTGATCTTGCGCCCCTGGCAGAACTGTCCAGATTACGCCCCCTAGGTAAATGGGTAAAGGGAACCCCTGACCATTAGGTCCAGTCGTGGCCGACTCTGGGGTTGCAGCACTCATCTCGCTTTATTGGCCGAGGGAGCTGGTGTACAGCTTCCAAGTCATGTGGCCAGCATGACTAAGCCTCTTCTGGCGAACCAGAGCACCACACAGAAACACCGTTTACCTTCCCACCGGAGCGGTACCTATTTATCTACTTGCACTTTGATGTGCTTTCGAACTGCTAGGTGGCCCCCTAGCCATGGACAAATTAGCTCTTCGTTCCACCTCTCCTCCAACCCCCAATTCAATTTGGCTTTGGCTGTCCCCTGGAAAGTTGCGTTGTGATTGGCTGAAATGCCGTGAGTCTAAATACTCAATGCGAAATAGTGTGTATTTTGAGTTTGTGAAATTGAAAGAAAAAAGGAATGTGGCAAGGGGAAAAAATAGGGGGAATCAGGGCCCCCACATATCATATAAAGACCCTCTGTTTAAAACCTTTTCTTATGAGGCAATAATTGGTATTTTTATTTATAGACATAAAAAGGTAAAGGTAAATGTAAAGGGACCCCCTGACCACTAGGTCCAGTCTGGGGTTGCGTCGCTCATATCGCTTTACTGGCCGAGGGAGCCGATGTACAGCTTCCGGGTCATGCTGCGAGCATGACTAAGCCGCTTCTGTCGAACCAAAGCAGCACACGGAGACGCCGTTTACCTTCCTGCTGGAGTGGTACCTATTTATCTATTTGCACTTTGATGTGCTTTCAAACTGCTAGGTTGGCAGGAGCAGGGAACGAGCAACGGGAGCTCACCCCGTCGTGGGGATTCGAACCGTCAACCTTTTGATCGACAAGCCCTAGGCTCTGTAGTTTAACCCACAGCGCCACCCATGTCCCTGTTTATAGACATATTTTTAGCCAATTTGGGGGGGAGGCCACCTCACCACCCCCTAGCTTCAGCCCTGCTGGGTGGACCGGCTGTGAATGTCACAAACTCCCCTCAAAATTTTGGCCGTCATTAGTCCTAAAGGCAGCACACGGCAATGTTGCAGGCGCTTTTAGGGCAACCTTGCCTGGAAGGCCTTGCTCTGAGGACCCCCTTGGTTCTTCCCAGAATGTGCAAATAATTCCATGCCACTCAAGGGAATGAGTCGTTTGCCTGCTCAAGAGCTGAAAACCCAAATAAAAAAATTCCGAATGCAGCTTCAGAATGGGTGGCTTTCAATGTGGAGTTTTGCCCAACAGCTGTATCAGAACTGCAGTGTTTGCTAGACAGCTGAAAGAGGAGTCAGGCACAGGAGTCTAAGCTCAATCCTGA